TTTCTTCTATTTCTAGGGATATTTGTGCCTCGGCAGAGGGAGAATCTTTATTGCTCTCCTCATTTCGCAAGACGCCGCGTGTCCCTCTCCTGCCATGTCTCTTCTTTTCCTTGTTTTTCGAAAATTAATGTTGCATAAAGTCAAATTGATGGATGGCAGTGCGATTGTGGCAATTTTGCACACATAACTTATACGGAGCGCCTCTCGAAAGGCCCTTCAACCCTTCTTCGGCATCCTGAAAACTAAATTGTTTCACCCAACTTCTGCCGGGTGGGGCTTGAATATATGGGATGATGTGTGAAGAAGCTGTTAAGTTATGAAAATAGCAGACACTCTGTCGGATTAGCTCTTCACTCCCTCTCCCTCTCCCTCTCTCTCTCTCTCTCTCTGGGAAAACTTTTCCTCCGGGTGTGAGTGATAAAATGCCTTCATGACTAATGCTACGCTCTCAAATATGAAAGTTATGGACTCGTCTTGACACATGTCATCAATTCTCTGGCCGTTTTTGTGTTCACCACAGGCGAAGGAAGAAAGGGACTTGTCGTGATGGACATATGAAGAGAATCGCCATGCATAATTGATGCTCAGCCCTTTTTTTGCCTCGAAAGTGGTCTGCATGCGCTCGGGTCTTTTGTTAAATCTTTCAAGTACATAATTTTCTTAAGAGACTTTCAGAGAGCCTCACAGTTTTCCATCCAAGGAACCGCATTCCAGGAGAAACTCCAACCATTCTCTGACTTGCCCTCCTGATGATAATTGGAGACATCCTGAGGACATGTGCCTCTAATTATCCTTGAGCCCAGGATGCATTCAATTACACCTAAATATGCGTGCGACAATCGGGAATTAATGCCAAGGCGAGAGATGGCACAATTTGACAGAATATTGTATGTACAACTAATTAAGCAATTACAGGGGCAGTGCGGCTCCTCGGGAAGCTACTCAAGTGTCACTGGCTTTGTGTTTTATTGCCCACTGTATTATCATGATTATCGTGCGAGACACTTGGAGACGAGCAAAACGGGGGAGGCATTTTAATGGGCGCCCAATGACGCCCATAAAGATCCACTCCATCCACTTGCAAGCAATGCGTCCTCAACCCCTCTAATGGGGGACGGACTAACGAGAAATCCACGGATCATGTGACAGAATGTGGAGCTCTCTCTGGCCAAGAAAGGGGAGATCCGGCGAAGAGCGACCGTAATTTGGCTGTTCTTCATTTTTACGACCCCCAAGGAATCTCATATAGACGTGCATCAAAAAAACATCCAATTCAATTTACACCCCTATCCACAACCCCTCAAAACACCCTCAAGGCAGTGCAATGCGAGATCCCCCAGAGGCATAAATTCCCCATCAACTCCCACACACACACACTTTCGTGCCGCAGCAATTGAATTTAATTCGAAACCATTTCTTGTCTTGCAGAGGCCCGGAAGTTGCGTGACCCCAGATGATCATCATGAACTTGGTTGGCCACGCGTATTCTTGGGTTATTAACACACTATTTATGTTGTTATTGCTTGAGAATACACGTAGTTGACAAGTGCTAAACGGCAAATACTCAGCCCAAAAGTGGGAAATCCTCCCACTCAAGAGGGAGGCAACGCATCGACAGCACATTTCTTTCTGAATGTTTTATGCTTCTCTTTTCAGGGGCGTTTTTGTCGCTTCACATTGATTTGAAAAGTCATATGAATTAAAAGGCATTATGACATATAAATGTGTGGCTTTTAGGAATGTGTGGTTTGTGACACAAATAAAGCTCATAAAATCAACTTGCTATCATTCATCGGTGAATTTCTACTAAACCCAACGTCTTGAACAGTTTATCTACGCTATTTGACTTAAAGCAAGACGGAAAAGATTAAATAGCGTGTTGAAAAAGGAAATTGAAGCACTTAAAGTGACATTTTTCATCATATTAGTGGAATTTCGCATTTTATCTCAATGAAAACTGCGATTCCGAAAGCTGAAAGTGGTAAAAACGGTGCTTAATTCAAACATTAAATAAACTAGAAATTCAAGAAAAATATGATCTGAAAAGTTCAGTTCTCAGGGTGAAAGAGCTGAAATTAATCAGCTTTGGCTTCAGGGAATTTTTTGCACTTTTTGCATAAGAATCCACACAAAAAATCAGTGTAATTAATAATGTTTTAAATAAAATTGAAACTACCAAGAAAGCTCATCTCAACTAAGGAGAACATTTTCTACAAGAAGATCTCCTTAAGAATTCATATCGGCAATCAAGTGAAGGCAAGTCAAGCTCGGCGCAGAGGAAGAGATTCACCACGGATGCTCTTCCGCGGAATAATTACCAAAGCGACTGACGTAAAATGTGTCGTGGGGGTGGTTTTTGTCGTGTGCATTTTTCACGCGAAGCAATGAAAAATTCCTTATTGTCAATTTACCACAATTGACTACGCACTGTCCATACGGAATTTCGCCTCAGTGAGAGAGAAAGAATGGAAAATATGGTGGGGAAAGTGGCGAAAAATATTTTTATTCCCCAACAACTGTCGATTGGAGCCCTTCTTCTTCGTCTCGACGCCCGCTTTCAGCCCCCCCGCCAACCCGACACTTCTTTCCTTTGCCACCCACTTCAGAGGATTCGCCCATCTTCATTATCATAATTTTATATTCACAAGATTCCAGCGTAAACAGCTCGAAAACCATGTTCGCCCTCTCACCCAACGCCCACCCACCCACCCCCTCAACCCATATTTATATAATGTTGTATTATACGAAAATATTTTAAGATTCAATTTGAATACATTACAGACGAAGGAGCTGCCGAGGAATGATTCGCCAGCAACACACTAGCTGCAGCTCAAGGGGTGCGCGGCATAATTTTGGGGCGAGCGGGGGGTGAAAGATGGTGAGGAATATTTATGCCTGGGAAAATCTGTTTCGTGTTTTCTGCACAAAAACACAACACAACACACGCAATGTATCAAAAACCAAGCGCGCGCGGATACAAAGGCAAAACATCCGCGATTGTACATCTTCATCAGTTCCTCTTCTTCTTCTTTCAGTCAAACATTTTTGGCTCTCCCCTGAGACTCTTCCAGCGACACGTGGAAGTGCTTTTGAAAGAAGAAGAAGCAATGCGATTTGATGAAATTGATTTCATTTCAACATAATTCACAACATGTAATCGCGAAAGGCTTGAATTTTGGCACAACTTGAGATCTTCTGTGTTTTGATGGGGCTTTTCTTAAAAGCTCTGCCAGAGGACCTTGAAAAGGAACATCGGCAGCTCATTTTCAGGAAAACCCTCGCCATGCTTCTGAACTTTAGCCTTCCCCCACCCTTCCCCTTGTGTCTTTAATTCATGGACCAAAAGCGACTCTGTGAGATGTTGTGCACAACATTAAGAAAGCATCCTCCAAATAAACGAATAAATTATAAGAAATTTTCCTTCAGAACATGCACACTTCTCATCTCGCGGGTGGAAAAAAAATCCCCGCGCACAACAAGCAAGTCAGGGGTGGAGGTAAAGGGAATGTATAAAACATGATAAATGTGTTTATTCAAGAATCTAATTAAAATTTAAGCACTTTTTAAAAGCATATAGCTTTCTTGAAAAATACGGAAATGCCATTCCCAACCCACACAATTCACGTGCATAGATTTCTCCAAGGAGAGCCAGAGCGCCAACAAGAAGTTGTAAAGGCAGAAGAAGAAGAGGGCAGAAAAAAAAGCACACCGGACACATCCAATCGACGTTGCACACTGGAATTCTCTTCATCTTCTCCAATTTTTTCCACCCACCGCGCGCCCTCCATCCTCATTTTCGCATAATGGAAAATAATTTCAATTCATAAAAGTCATTTCCTTCCCTTTCAGCGCGTCAACTTTGCGCTCACCTTTGCCCGCCGCGCTTCGGGAATCCCGCGGATTCGCTGGTCGCCTGTGCGTTGAGGGTTTTTTTTCGGGGCCGGACCACTGTCAACAACGCCGGAAGGAGTGAAAAGCTCTCTCTCTTTCTCTGCTATTGAGCCCAACTTTGTAATCACTGTCAAGTTGAAAAGGTGTGCTAATTAATAATTAACAATCCTTGGACGAAAATCGCAATCACGCTGCCAGCAGGAGGGAAAATCAGTGTGATTTGCGCTCTCCGGAGATCCCAAAAAAGATGAAATAGTCCGAGTGAAGTTGCCTTTCATGGCAAAAATATTATGTAACAGGAGGGAGTGAAATGAGTTAAATAAATGTTTGTCCTTTACCTTCCATGCGACGCAGCCCGAGAGACCCTTTGATGCCTAAAAAGAAATGAAGGGAGGGAGAGAGAGAGAAATAAAAGAAAAATAAATATTAATAAAGAAAATGTATAAACGGAAAATTCTCCAAGAGAAGATGGATGCTATTGACTTTTTGGGCATCTTTTTCACTCCATCAAATTTTCTGTATAGAAGACAATTTTAATAAAATTAAATATTTAATAACCAACAGAGAGAATTTGTCTTATTTTCCTATATTGCGGTTTGTCTTGAATTTAGTGTGTTTTATGGAGAAAAAAGGAACAACAAAAAGAGTCTTTTTTAACTCTTTTATTCATGGACTGCAAATTTCAAAGGTTGAACTGAAGAATAACCTGTGAGAAAAGCATTAATTTCTTCACTGACGCTTTCTTTTCACATTTCGCCTTTGATCGGAATAAAAAACATGAAAAAATGTGGGATCTTGCCGTGACCAGGAATTGAACCTGGGCTTCCTCGGCCACAACGAGGTGTCATGACCACTAGACGATCACGGCTGAGCTCCACTTGTGTGCTTTAGTGGCTCCAATTCAGCTCTTTCAGCTCCGCTTCGCTGGCCGAATTCGGGGAAAGTGAAAGTCATCAAAAAGACATGGAGCGATCAACGATCACTCTGTCAGCGAATGAATTTCACACGAGCCGCGAAAGAAGTTGCTATTGCATGCCATTCGCGGGCATTTTGAAAGTCAGCAGAAGTTGATATGAAAGAAACCAAAGAACTGAAAGATTTCATCTGTCCTTTTATTGACTTTACTTCTGTCTTCAAGTATAATTCATTACAGAATTGTTGCTTTACAAACTACTCTCATAAATATAATTATACACAATTTCTATCTCCTTCTCTACTCTTCTGCTCGATTTCTTCCTCCCATTTTTTTTCTCTCTCAAAATGACGACATCAGCGCCACAAAGTGATCCCATCTGTTGCAATCAGACAAGCTTTGTCCACTCAAAAAGAAAGAAAAACCTGAACACACCCTCGCGACAAAGGACATCGGGCTTGAGCGACATTCCAAAGAAACATATGTACAAAAGAGGTAAAAAAGGGAGCTAAACAAGGGGGAAAAAGAACCAGAAACTTGAGCTTTTGAGAAACGCAGCAAAAATTAACATTCTTCCTAAACGCACAAAAAGGGGGGATAAAAATGATCACAAATTCTTCAATATCTCAACACGGAGGGTTTTTTTCTACACTCCGCTGTTTTTTTTCTTTACACTCAATAAACGCCTTACAAAATTTCTTGATTTTTTTTGATTTTTCTCCAGCAAACCCATCGCCATAAACGAAAGAAGTATATATATATATATAGAATCAAAAATTCTCCTTCACATAAATCTCAGTCACAATCATTCTCTCAGGATTCACACGCAAAAAGCTCATTCATTCTCTCAATCATCTTTGTATGTACAGGAAAAAAAGGTTTCTTTTTGTTTTTTTAGCAAATTAAGATGATCAGAAGTGCATCACTCACACATAAACACAGAAACACACATCTCGTCCGCGTGTTCAGCCCTTATGCATCACTCGACGCCCCATCGGGCGGATGTAAGTGGAGCGCATCTCTGGCTCCCCGATCTCTAGCACACTCGACGGACGTCGAGCCGGCGGCGGAATCATAATTTCCCGAAACATCATTATTTGCACTATAAATTTCCGCGTGGGAATTCCCTTCCGTGGAATTTAATTTGGCGTCTGGACTCGGTGAATGCGAATTTGAGACTCCACCGATCGATTGTGCCACATAGACGACGGCATCTGAGCTGCTGGGCGCCTTCACCACCCCCACATCATCAACCACCCCATTCGCCACCTGATTTTGCGAATTCACCGCGGGATTTTCCTCCGTGGCCGTCGTCGTTGTCGTCTCAGTGGGAAAAATGTAATTATTCTCCTCGAAGTTGCGCTGAAAATTACTCTGCGATCCACCCTCATCACTGACCGCATCTGCAGCTGATGCACTCGAGCTGAGGAAGAAGCACATCAGCGAATGTCGCCAGACACACATTGATAAGGTTCAGCGGAGGAATTATGCTAAAATTGCCCCTTTTTCCGTGTCGTTTCTTACAGTATCGAAAAGATTCTGTATTTCTACTCAAATTTTATTGGCAAATTCCGTGAAATAATCGCATATGACCTTTACTTAAGCTTGTTTTAGCTATTTTAGAGCGATTACACGAATAAACGTGTTCTATTGTTCACAAGGAACAATTTCACAGCCTTTTTTCTACTCTTAATGCGATTTTTTCCGCGATTCATCAGGAAATGAAAACATAACCTTTAAATTGTCTCCGCACGCCTTCGATATTTTAAAATTGCATCTCTCGAGCTGGAATTCTTGCCTGTGTTTAAGGACATTTATTCACTTTCATGATGAGTTCAATATCGAGCCAGAATTCTTGCTAATAACTCTGAATTTTTCCTCATAAAATAGGGCATTTTTAGCATAATTCCATGGCAGATTAGAAAGTTGGTCACTCACCTGTTTGCTGTCTCTTCTGTCGCCTCATCACCCGTTGTCTGTGTCTCATTCTGCACAGTTGAGGGCGTTATGGCAATTCTGCCAAGTGTTATTCGCTGCAAATTCCCCAAATTCACCACACGAATTCGCGGATTGTTGTTGTTCTCGTTGTTATTGATCAGGCCACCGAGAATTGTATTGGCCATAATGTTCCGCAGTGTCCGCATCACGGGCGTCTCATCGCGATTCCTTAGGCCGGGCACAGGAAGCCTTCTGGCCAGATACGTCACATTAGTCAAGAAGTTGTGGTTATTGTTGTTGTTGTCATTCTGACGATTCACCGGCGGCTCCGCCTGGCGTCTTGCCGCCTCTCCGGCCGCCTGTCCCACCACTCTTGCCGCACCATTGCCACCACCCTGCGCATTCCCATTGGCCGCCGCCGCCGCGGCCGCATTTGCGCCCGCGGCCGCCTGCTGTCCATTCTGCCCACCCTGCTGTCGGGACCTCATCAGCAACTGCTGCAACTGAGCCTGGTGTATAATCACAGGCAGCTCGTAGTGGTGGAAGAAGTACACCATTGAGTGCTGCAAGACAAATGGAAAATTCTAAACTCTTTCTGCACTTCAGCTGTCGCACCAAGAAAATTTACTGCTTATGTTCACCCATACTTTTACGACTTATCTCAACATTTTCGCCCCCCTTTTTCTCCCTCCCTCTCTCTCTCTCGTCGCTCATAGCGTATACAATTAAAAACTCCCCTGCAGGCTTTCCCTCCTTTTCACCCCCAAACTCTCCCACACAGCCGGCATATATAGTGAAATCATTCTGTGAATTTTTCCCGTCTCATGTTTGGGATAATAAATTTAGCGCACGACACACGGATTCTAAATGGGAATCTCATGTTCTCACATTCCTTCAATGGCTTTCCTCTGAGGGACCTCATTCGAATTCTCATGACTTTTCTTTTCACTCTCTCTCTTTCCCTCTTTCACACACCAAAATTCACTTGTCCGTGTGTGCAATTCACTGAACTTTGAGCACCATTTCCACGCGATTGTGCAAATTAATCAAATCTCTCCCTGAGAAGGCCAAATTCCTTTTTGTCCTTTTACACAGGAAGTGTTTGAAGGGAAAAGAGGAGGGAAATTTTCGCAATTTGCTCATTATTGCCAATGTAAGTATTAATGTCGATGTGTGTGTCTGAAGAAAATTGCCAAATGATCTCATTGTGATTTAATCTTGCAAACTATTTCGAGCAGAAATTCAACAGAGAATTTCTCAAGAATGGAATGGGATAAATGGCAAATTGTATGTGCTGTTCATTAAATCCCATTCCCTTTTTTCATGCTTCATCAATTCACATTTTGTACTCTTGTACGTTTTAAGGTGAGCTTTAGTCATGTGCTAAAAGCGTCCCAGTATTTTCCCACTAATTGGTTCAAAATCTCCTTTTCCATTTCACTCTATCTCACATATTATAGGCTTTAACAAACACGCACAACTTTCTCTCTCTCTCTCTCTCTCTGTCTCTCCTCCATTTCCATTTGCTGTTGCGCTTCTCCCAAACCAAATATTTCCCCGTACGTTACAATCAATGTCAATTTCCTCACTTTCAAACCATCACACACTTCCTCCCCTCCTCTTGTGACCACCAGCAATGCAAGAACTGTGCCAATAAGGTAATTGGCGAGAAAAACAGCAAATGGAACATCATCGTGTGTTATGGATTTTTCAGTGTGATGCAACAAGCATCGAACTAATAATTAATAATGCTCGCCATAGAATGCATGTTAATGCCTCACATATTGCATTATGTCGATTATGCCCATCAACATTGGCAGGTATTTATGCTAAAACAGTTATCCAATCTCACTCCTTCTTCACATGTCCATCATCAAATCACTACTCACACACATCTAAACTGTCTCTGCTTAGAATTGCTTGCATTCTGAGGGTGAATAGCTAATCAAAAGCCAAATGCTGTTTGATCGCAATGATTTAGATTATATTAAAACTCCTTTTATACATTTTATGCACACAATCCTCCAATTTTTCAATGAATTTATGGAATTGATAAAGAATTTGAGAGTCTTTTCTGTTGTAATAAAAACGAATCTTCACACAAAAAATCTCTTATGCTTCAATATTTGCTCATTTCTTGAAATAGATTCAGTGAAAATCATCCTCAACATCTAAATCGATTCGCGTTTTTCTATTACAACCTACAATCAATGCTGTCCAATTCAGTGAAATTGCACTTATAACTTCACCAATTCAGCGACTTATATGAATATCTTCTTGGCATAATGAAGTTCTCGCGTGAGACATTCTAAAAATGCAAACAGTGCCACATATATAACTCTCCCACCCCTGAATCGGTGTGTGTGTGTGTGGTGTATTTAATATTGAATAGAGAGTACGTTATGGAGATATATTTTATGCTTGAAATGATTTTCCAATAAATGCTGATGATGGGCCACGTGAATCGTGCTCTGCATCCGATTCGTACCTCTCTTCCACCTCAACATCATTCAATCTCAGTCACGTGGGCGCCCCTCAGTTATCCACGTGATGGGGATTTTCATGAAACAAAGACACACATTTTGCTGTAAAACCACCCCCCACCACTCAAGCCCCGAAGTCTCACCGGCTCATACCGCAAAACTGACGCGTCAGTGTTTGTATTTTGCGTATTAACCCAATGTCGTCACGCCTGGAAAATGTGCAATGCCAGAAACTACACTCTGACGATTGCACATTGCAGGGGTTGGGGTGGGGAGGAAGAGAGTGAGAATGTCACCCAGGTGAATTTCACAGGCACGAAGTAAACATAAATATATTGTATATATATCTTTCACCCCCAAATGCCGTACAAATGTTGAGGAGTTGCGTAAAATATTTGCTTAGCACAATTAAGTCATTGAAACTTGTGAAAGTTCCCACTTTTCCACCCCTTTTGTGTTGTGAATCACACCCAATTGAAAGTTTTTCAAGAGAGAGGCTTTGCTGTGAAAATTTTCACAGCTCTATCAAGGGTAAAATTTATGAAAGGAAAAAAACCATAGCGATATAAAATGAAAGTTCTGAGAATGCATTTAAAAAACATTTACCGAAAATTTTCACAGATTTTTTCACACACAACATCCTAATTGAACTTTTCATTTGGGAGTAAATTTTTATTAAAGTCTCTTCTGCATCTCAAGCAGACACAGGTTAAAAGGTCACAGTGTCAGCTAGAGAAAGGGCGCTGATTTCTCATTGTCTCACCCTCGTGAAATACAATCTGGAGAGATTCTGCAGTCTAATAAAACATAAACATAAAGTAGGATAACATTACTCGCCTGTACAATTTTCCACGAGGCAAAGTCAATCTTTCTTCCTTCCCCCCCACTTTTCGCATTTTCCATCCCACTTCCTTCACTCTCTTCCAACCCACTTTTTCCCAGGAAATCTCCGCCAACGGGTTGAAATGTCACATATATCTTTTAGAGGTACCATAAATTTTTCACTCATTGAATATTGCAGCATTTTGCGAAACTGCGGGAAAGCATGCAGTCGAGGCGAAACTTTCAAGCCATCATCCAAAAGGGAAGTCTTCTAGCGAGCGAGAGAGTGAAGCTTTCGAGAGTTGAACGGGTAGCGAGACAGGCAAAAGGCCACCCCTCGAAAGTCACACAAACTTCCTTTTAGTGGGTTATATTTTCTCTTTTTATTACCTGTATAAAAAGCCATGAGGTGACGAGCGCCAGACTGCTATATTGTCCATTAAATCGATAGTGATAGGCGTAGAATGAGAACTGGTAGAGGTAGAAGAATCTGCAAAGAAAGTACAGAGCTCAATAAATCTCTTTTGCTCTCTTTCCTCACTCTGAAAAATTCCTTGGGCATAAAGTCAAGTCAAGGAAAAAAAATAGCCCTTGAGGGGAGAGTAAATCGTCACATATTTTCCATTTTGATGACGTTGAAGCTCCGATTCTTCAACTTGTGACTTCTTTTTCACTTGATGGCACACACACACACGCTCAAAAAGCTCACCCCGACAAGTGATGACGAAGGCGACATGCCAAAAAAGCTCAGCGAAGAGGGAGCGTGAAAACTGAGCGAGGGTGGCAAGTATTACGTGGAAAATGTGAACAAGCCGGGAAATTGGGCTTCCAAATCGCTCAGTGAATGTTCAATGTACTGAAGTTTTATTCCGCTAAAAAAAACATTTTTGAGGGGTGAAAAATATATATCAAAATATGTTGTTTTTGCAGCACTTTGAAAGCATTTGTAGTTTTTTTTATTTAAATACATGTATAAAATGTATTTCTGGATTAAGAGTAAAAAATTCTACTTCCCGAAGTAGCAATTATCATGCCATTACAATTTATTCCCTTCACCATATTTCCTTTTTTTCCGCGAAGGGTGAAAAAAAAGAACTCCCCGGGAAAATCACTGAAAGGGGAATTGAAAAAAAAGAGCTGAAGCAACAACAACAACACAAAAAAGGAGCCCAATAAAGAAACTTGGTAAGAAATAATAAACGCTTTCGATAAAATTTTCACGCCTATTTTCATTCTTTATTTAACAGAACAAAACAGAAAGAAAGAAGAGACTCAAAAAGTCATCATTTCCATGTCTCTTTTCTCACCCTGACACGCAAAAACATGTGTATATTTGAGATGATGATGAGGAGTGGAAAAATTTACGCACTCTGAATAGCAATTCAGAGGGAAATCTATGAAATTTTAATGGTGTTTTTGCATCTTGGATTCCCACCCAATCTCCACCAAGCATATCTGTCTGCCAAAGTGTGGAGTGAGAAGGGCAAAAAGCACACTCACGCATGAGGAAAAAATAAAAATCGCATATAAATTTGTGTGTTACAATAAAATTTATTAGCTTCCCACACTCTCTGCCATTCAAGCGTCCGTGGAAAACAGAAATTTCACACATCGCCAAAGTGTCTGGTGAAGAAAGGAATTTTTTTTCTTCTTCCCTATCTGAACATTTGCACAGATCGTAAAAGAATTACTTAGTCAAATATCTGCATCAGGAATAGTAGTCGATTTTATGGTCTTAATACCAACTTCTGAGGTAACAATAAACCCAAAATTATTCACAATTTAATTCACAGAGAGGAAATTTGCTGATTCTATTGAAATTATTTGTTCTTAAACTTCCAATTGCCACTGTAGATTGTTGAAAAATAGGCCCAATTGGAAGACAGTAATTTCTCTGAATACATTCTGACGTGCCATTGGAAACAGAGTGACTCAGAAAACGCTCGAGAAAAGTGAACAAACAAGCCCCAACTGTCCCTACTTCTCTTCTTCTCCTCTCTTACAATCGTGACACGCCCGCAGAAATATTAAAAAAAAACCCTGAAAGAGGGAGACAAAGTGGGTGAAAAAATGTATACCGGCGCGTCCCAATAACCATCAGATATGAGTGTCATAATTTTTCTCACTTGTTTCCGGGAATTCAGCCACACATTGTATAGTTGTGGGTGTGCAAGTATTCTCTCTTTTCCACAGAGGCAATTTGGTCTCTCTGTGTGTATTCGTTTGGGAAGGACAATAAAGTAATTAATTTCCTTATTGCCGCCTATTCACCATTTTATAATTGTTTCATCCACTGTGACACAACTCAGCTCCCGCGGGAACATTCATTCGGTCGACGGGGGAGAAAAAAATTTAGGGATGTGACGTGTGATGAATTTAGAGGTTCATCTGTGATTATGAGTTTTCATCGTGCATCACGAAGTATTTTCATTTAATTCCATCAGTCGGGAAGTCAAGGAGGAAAGAATAAAAAAAACCACCCAACGAATTCCTTGTTTGCTCTTACAATTTTAAGAGCTTATTTGCTTTTCCCCAAACTTTCTGTGCACAGCCCGGTGGAAGATTGACAGATATAAAACCCTAAATAGCGCTGAGGTGACTAATAATTCACTCAAATTATACATTTGAATATGCTACATATTCCAACCCCTTAGAATAGAATGTCAAGATGGGAAAATTTACGACAATTAAATAGAGAAATTCTCAAGGAATCTGTATCTATCCTATGACTGTGTATATCTAACTAATTTAGCGTCCAGACATCTTGCCTTTTTCGGCACACTCACCCTTCCACGAAGGCGCATATAAACAATCGTAATTGAATTTCCACCTCAATTGCCATTTTCAATTATTTACAGCGAATTTTCACATTGAGGAAAAGTGGCTTTGCCCGCCACGCTGGAGTTTTGGAACAATAACCCATAGCTGTGTTTCTTTCTCCTGTTGCTTCAACTCCTCTCTCTCTCCTGCTCACCTTCAATTCTTGGCACACCAAGTCAATTCACTCCCCCTGCCTGCCTTTGCCAAACACCCTTTCGTGCCCTCTTCCAACACACATACAGACCATCCTTCTCCCCCACAGACACCACGAGATATTTGTTCCGAATACAGACCAAGAGTGGACGGTGAGTCCCAACCCACAATGGTCTCTCTCTCTCACTCTCCCTGTGCGGCCGGTGGGTGTTTATAGCAATAGTGGAACCGAAGAATCATATAAATAACCCCAGCACACCACCCACTCACCCCCCTCAATCCAGGGGATGGGCATCGGTGCGGTGCTGGAACGTGAATTATAGTGTTGAATTAACTTAACCCCTTTTCCGATTATTAAGGCAAACTCTAATTCAAATGATTTCAATTCGTTTATCAAGCCTCCCACACACAGAGACACAAAACACCTCGACTCTGGGACTCTTTCATTGCAATGGCGACAGGGACTCAAGAGGGGGTCGCTTCGGCCACGGGAAAAGTGTGAGACTGAACATACACAGGGTGTGCCACCATCTCTAATATGTTTACAGAGCTTCAATGGTTATGAGGTCGGGAGGTAACAGTGCGGTGGATACACTCATCGACTTAATTAAATTTCCCCATAGTATATTAGGTTTGTTTTACACACACACACACACACGAACACAATTCCATTTTTTCCCGCTTCATGTGGTAAAACAATTCAGTGAATTAAGCATAGTGCCTCTACTGAGATAGGTAACCCTAGGCAATGGATTCCTCAAATGTCACGGGACTTTTGTGGGTATTTTAAAGCCTTGTGTAAGACCATTCCCTAAAGATCCTGACTTTGGATTTTGATAAAGCCCCAAACCTAGACCTATACTGAGTCCTGAGAGACAATTAACCAAATTACCAGTTGTAAGACAGCCAATATGGCTGGTGTAGAAGCAAATTAATTTGTTTTGTATCCCATGGAGATCAACATCCAGCAGATGTTGAAGAAAAAAACCTCCAATTGATTCGAATTACCATCGGACAACAGTGCTAATGTTTTGTCTGGTTCCAATTGCCTTCAATTCAATTGACTTGACACCATCTAATTTATATTGATTTTTTAAAGTTATTCTTGACGCTCGCAAACATGCAAAAACAAGGAAACAGTAAAAAATCCACAAAGATTTCACCCTTTCGTTCAAACCTTAAAACCTTTTGGAGCATAAAAAGAAAAACAATTTGATGGGCAGAGAATAAAACAAGAAATACAGATATTGAATATCTTCGACCGAAGCAGTCTTCAATTAGAAATTGATTACGGTTCAGTGTTTTGTCTTCCGGCATTGCCTCTTTCGTCAATGAAAGAAATTTTATCTCTTATCCTGGCCCGAGATACGATAAGGAGAGGCGGAGTATCAAAATATCTCAGGGCAAAACCAAAAAAGGGATGGTATATATTGGGTATATTAATTTATATGCACGAGAGAGAGAAGAGAATCAAATAACAGGGGTTGGATTGTATATAAAAATTTTATTATGTGGCGCAGAAAATGGCTCGGAAATAGAGTGTTTTACCAATAAAAACCAAAAGTCATATTTTCCAATTTCTCAAATTGCATTCCAAACGCATCGTATTTTTCCAATAAACCGGCTGGAAACTGTTCCGCACACTTTGGGATGGAGAATTTCCCCAACATATAAACCATATTACACGTTCTCTTGCCTTCTGTGCAAAATCTGCACTGCAGATTACATATATATTTTTCTACTTCTGCTCAAAGATGTTGTCTGAACACTTTTGCAAATGATTTTTCATCACGGAGTGTTAACAGTGTACCTCTTCCTTGTATCCTAATTATACAATAAAACAAATCAGTGTTTTGCCTGGTAATATGAATAAAATGTAAACGAAGAGAAGAGGGCCTCAAGATGAAAATGATGATGATGACTTGAATATAATGATGGGAACAAGAGGGTATTTCCCTTCAACGGCAAGTACACATAGCAACTCCTCATGATCTAATTAGTTTGCTATGAGTTTTGCGTATACATTATTACCATGTATGAGGATGGTGTTCGCGAAAGGATTCAATTTCTCCCCTCTTTTGTGTGTATGCTCCGCCAAAACCACCCTTCACACTCTCACCACACACACGCAGAGCGTCATAAATTGCTGGAAAAGGGGGTAACTTTGTAATCCATACAACACACCAATTGAGTCTTTTGAAGAATTCAAGTACAGGCATTTAAGTAGGTCTTATAAGAAGACAGGTAAAGTGGCTCTTTCAACTCCATCCACTCGTTTTCTCTCTCTCTCTCACTCTTTGGTAAACTTCCAGATCAATATTGTGGAAGATGAAATAAAATTTGAGTGGTCAAATGGTCTCCCATTTCAATAAAAACATCCCACCATCATCGAGATGTGGATCCATTAATAGTTTCGTCGCCAATTCCATCATTGAATCAGTTGGGGGGTTGTTTTTCCGAAACTCCCACCCTCTCTGCCACATCCGCAAACACCCAGCAAAATATTGTATCCCAGCC